ACTCCCTGCCTGACCCTCGGGGTACCCACCTCCTGCATCATGCCACCCGTAGTGGGACCCCTTGCCCAGAGGAGCCAGCAGCACCCCTCTATGGGAGCCACAGACCCTGGGGTGGTGGGTACCAGCTCCCACAGCCACCCCTGCCCATCTCACCCTGGTGTGGACATGCCCCCAGGACTGCTTTGCTTTGAGGAGGTGGTGTCAGAAACAGCATCCAGCCACCTCCTGGAGAGCAGCCCAGCTGCATCCCGGCTACTGGTGTTATTGCCCAGGGAACAACCGTCCCACAGCGGAGAGGTGGAGCCAACAGACCTGTTTGGGAATGGAGGGCTGAATAATCGGCTCGCAGGCAAGGACTCCACCAAGCACCCAGCTCTTCCAGGCCAGGCTGCGGCCACTCTCAACACCACTGGGAGGACTCAGGAGTGGTTCTGCCAGCTGGGATTTGATATGGACAATGGGGAGCCCAGGCAAGGGACTGGCATCCCCTATTGATGCTGGAGTCAGGGCCCCTCGGCTTCCAGGGAGCACACGCTTGCCTGTGTGCCATAATGGGACACGGGGGCTCTCTCTGTTCCCTATCCCCTAACCAGAACCGACAATCAGTGCCCTGACAACCCCATGCCATTGTCCCACTGTGCCACGCCAGTGCTGGCACCAGCAGCATCTCTTCCTTGCTCTCAGGACAGCCACCGGCTTGGGAGCGGGAGGGCATCATCAGCAGGACACGTCTCCATAGGGGAGCGTGTGCCCTGGGGATGTACGGGAGCTGATGGAGAGATGCGGGGCCCGGGAAGGGGAACCTGCCCCAGCCACAGCAGCTACCCCATTGGCATTGCGGGAAGAGGGCTCTTACCACGGAGGAGCGCCGCATCTGCTAGGGCCGCCTGCGCTGCGGAGTCCCCGGGTCACATCGGAGCAGAGCCCGGCGCCGTGGGGCAGCGGAGCATGGCAGGACCCGGAGGAGCTCACGGGGTGTGAGAACACCCAGGTTCCTCCCATCACTTCCTGGCCTGCCTGGCCCCTCCCTGCCCATAATAGTGCTGAGCTTTCCTGCTGCCTTGGCGAAGCCCTGGGGCTGGCATGGCTGAGTCAGGGCTCCTGCACCCTCATCATCCTCGTGGGGTGTCAGGGGAAGCTGATGCACTGGAATGTCCGGTCTGCCTTCACGTGGCCAGCTCCTATGGGGTTCCTATGGGAGTCGTTCAGCCTGAAGCCGGCGGGCAGAGGCTCCCTCTCCAGCCGTTCCTTGTGCCCGTGGCCCTGCGGTAGCTGCTCCCCTCGGAGCCCCAGGGCAGGCTCAGCTTACACAGCACTGGCTCCATCCAAGGTGTTACGGCACAGCTGCTCCTCGCTTACGCAGGGCTTGGAGCTGTATCCCCTGTCCCTTGAGACGCAATGTCCCAGCCTGGAGGTGACACCAGAGCTCCCAGATCCCTCTGGGAATCCGCATTTCCCTCTAGGAAGGCTGGCCCCAAGCAGCCCTGGAGGGGGGGATGTGCTGCGGTGTTTGCTCCCTGCATTGAGCCCATGTCACTGGGGGGGTGCTAGAAAACCAGTGCCCAACAGGACCTGCCCAAGGTCATGCGTGCAGCTTGGGCCAGCCTGAGAACACCAGGGTTCATAGCACAGCACTGAGCAGGAGTCATCACCCTGGACCCGCTCCGTGATGCTGACCCATACCCAGCTGCCTGCGGAGCCTGCTGCTCACCCCCCCCCAAGGCTATAGAACCCCAACCTCACAGGGAACCTTGCCCTAAAGACCCAGGGCATGTGTTATTGCTCTGAGGTCTGTGGGGGGGAAGGAAGGAATGGACCCGGGCAGGCTCTGCCCATGCTGGGGCACAAGGATGGTGCTGGGGAGATGATTCTGGCAGAGAGCTGCCAGGTTTGGTGCTTGGGCTCTATAGGGACGCAGAGACCACAAACCAATCCCCCATGGCTTCACCCAGCCGAAGGGCTGAGTCCTTGCTGCCAGGGCCCCCGGTGCCCCCGTGGCATCCCCTCCACTCACCTGTGTGCGGGGCAGCGGTGCGGGATGCTGCTGGCTGCTCAGGGGCAGGAGGCTGGCGCGGCTGGAGGCAGGCTGCTGGTCATGGGGCTGAGCGAGGGGGCCCGGTCCTGCCTCCTCGGGGCATCTCCCTTGGGGCAGGATGAGAGTGAGCGATGCGGAGCGGGCCGGCAGCACCCCGAGCCCTTAGTAAGGGACCGGGGCACCCCACGGCTCGGCTCCTCCACCCTGCACCGAGAGGACAGAGGGGGCCGAGCCGGAGGGCTGTGGGGCCGCATAAAAACACCAGGGCAGAAATTCACAGCTCAGGTTACCGGGTAGATAAATATAGAGCCTTTATCTGACCTCACAGGGCGCTGAAATGCTCCTCTCGCATTCCAGCTTCGGGGAGGCTTAAAGGGGACGTGAACCCGAGAGGGCTGGTGGCCCACGGCAAGGGGATGCTGAGGGGGGAAGGAGACAGAGGTAAGGGGGAGTTGTTGTGGGAACGAAGAAGCGTGTCTGAAGGTATGGGGAAGGGAGAGATATGGGGGGGGGGAGATGGAGGTCTGGGCAGGAAAGGGTGGATGGAGCATTAAGACAGCGAGCTTGGTGTGGGGGTCAAGAAGGCAGAAAGCCCGTGGCTCCCACTGAGGACTGGAGTAGAGCATCAGGTGAGGGGAGGAGGCGCTCCCTTGGGGCAAAACACAAGGAGAGTCCCCTAAGCCTGCATCAAAGGCAGGCACGGGGTGGGTGATGCGGCCATGATGCACAGGAGCACCCGTTCCTCATAGCTCCATGGGGACAGCGGGGCACCCACCCAGCACCGCTCCCCCGACGCCTGACCCGCCCAGGGCGCTGTGGCCTCACGGTGGCCGTGACTCAATGAGCACCTGCCGAGGGTAATTAGCAGGGGTGTAATTACGGTGGCATTTGGGGCCCTCCTGCCTGGCTCCAAGCCCTTAAACAGGGAGGGATGCGTCTGGGCGTCACTCTGGGAGGATGCTCCAGTGGGCTCAGTGGGTAGTGTCGAGCCCCACTGCCAAACGTAAGGGTGAGGAGAGCCCCTGGTCCCAGGGTGGCACCGTGTGGCTGCTCTAGGAGATGCGGGGGCCCTTGGCATCCCCATGGCAGCGTGTGCAGGAAGCACCAGGGGCTCTAGCACATGCATCCACAGCCAGCCCTGCTCCCACACACACTCCCAGCTCTGACAGTTCCCTCCCCAGGGGATGGATGGGCTGGGATGTACCCAGCTGTACCTACCCTGCTTTGTCTCATTGCCAGCAGGATGGAATGCCCTGGCCCTGGGCTCACAATGGGGCCAGGAGGGTTGGGGTTCCAGAATGGAGTACGGGGTGCAGGGACAGGGGTGGGATAATGGGATGGGGCAAAGGGACTGGGTGCAGGGTTCGTGTTCTGGCTTCATAGGAGGGGATCACCCCGGGGAAGGCAAGATTTATCCCTGCCTGCTTCTACCCCTCCTGCTGGAGGCCTGCAGGATGCTGGTTGCCCAGGGTGTCCCACCCCCCCAAGATGGGATGCTGAAAGCACAGGCTGGATCCCAGCCCTTCACCCCATCACCTCACACATGGGTGGCCGCGGCTCCAACACACAACCTAGGGTTTTATTGTGCAGACAGAGGAACACTCCTGCAGGATAAGGTGTTTTTTCTTGTTGTTGTTGTTGCTTTTCGTAGGGTTCTTTCCCCCCACCCCTTTGACAGAGTTTGCTTTACGACAAGCTGTGGAAAACAACTACAAATGGTCACCCAAAAATGAGACTCGAGATGCATCCGCGCTCTGCTGGCTGGGCTCTGCGCCTGCCCCAGCGCTCACCAGCAAGCCCAGGGAGCTGGGCGCAGCCAGACCTCAGCTATACACGGCCTCAGCAGCACTAGACAGCAAGCAAGCAGGCAGGGACGGGCAGGGAAGGGGCACTGGGGTAGGTGGGAGGCAGCTCACAAGGCGTGGGGAGCAGCTGCTGTGGGTTGCTCTCAGCCGTGGTGGCACAGCTCAGGCTGCACGGGTAGCTCAGTGGGGCTGGGGTTCACCCCATGGACCAGGATGCTCCTGCCTGCATCTTCCCCTGCTCCTGTGCCCTCTCCTGGGGGAGGGTACAGCAGGACCAGCCCTCTGCTCTCTGTCCCCATGGCCAGCTGGGCTGCCCTTACACCTTTATCTGTTCTTAAATGGACACAGGGGATGATGAAAGGAAAGAAGGAGAAGGGAAAGGGTACACGGGGTCCTCCCAGCGGCATGGTGGGGCTGGAGGAAGACTGCTAAGCCTAGCTGTGGCCAGGCATTGGGATGTGCCCTCCCCACCAGCCTGGCTGGATCCAGCTCTGGGGACCACAGGGAGAGGAGTAGGGGCAATGCGGGGCTGTGGCTAGCTCAGAGAGGCTCTGCTTGCCTCCACTGGTGCTGGCAGCAATTCTCTCGTCACAGCTAAGGGCTGGTCTCAGGGGGAGAGCAAGTGGTGTCTGTGGCTTGGGCAGCCCATAGGTACCAGCTGATGCCTGGAGGAGGCCTCACTTCCATCGGCTGTGAAAGACAGACTAGGAAATACTTGTTGCCAAAGCACATTTGCAGTGAGCCCCCTTCCCCAAGGCCTTGAAAGGGCATTAAGGAGACGGGGTCATTTGATGGTGTCTCCTAAACCTGCTCCCCTCTCTTCTCCCATCCTGGCCAGGCTGGGGACATGCAGCCCCATCTCCAATAGGGACCCCTCTGCACGCTCTCGCATCACCTCCCTCTCTTACCTGCTGTGTCTCCCCAGTTGAAAACAGGCAAACCCCAACAGCCAAAGGGATGGGAGAAGCGGGCTGTGTGGGGCTGAGGCTCCAGTGCTCCCTCCCAACCAGGCAGCCTATTGAGTGGGGAGGAGCGATGGGAGAAGCAACGCTGCCTAGCAGAGCCACCATGCTTCGGAGCAGGGCATGTGTGCGTGTGACGGCGGGCCTTGGCACCGGGTAGCGTTAGATACGGCTATATAGAGATAACACAGAGAGAGGTTTCACTGCTTCCAAATGGTTCAGCTTCTCCTTCCAAGGGCTGCGTTCTGGCGGGGGAGGCGGGTTTGCTGGGGTGCTCGGTGTGTGCGTGCATGTGTGTGAGTGTGAGTGTGAGTGTGTGCTCTTCCTTTCACAGGGACACGAAGTCTACGGCTTGCAGGAGAGGCAGGGAAAGGAGAAGGAGCAGGAGCCATGAAGTGTTCTGGATCAAGAGGCTGAAGCCGGCGCACTTCTCCAGTTTGTCTGGGGATGGGGAGGGAGAGAAGAGCCACGGTGAAATCCCTCAGGGACAGGCATCAGGTGTTATAAGGGGTGTTGGGACTCAGCTTCTCGCCCTGGCCACAGAACCACACCAAGTCTCATCGTGGCCCCTTGCCTGTTTCCCCTCCCACCTTGTGCCCTTCAAAGCTTTGTTGGGCATGCAGAGACCTGGGGAAGCATAACCCTGTGTTTGGCTGACTGGGGTGACAAGGGGATGGGCACCAGAGCAGATGAAGGGCTCTGCAGATGGAGGTCTGCTCCTGCACAACCTAAGTGTGGAAAAGCCACATCCCTCTTCAGTAGTCTTGTCCCCTCTGCTGGGACTATGAAGCATCACCTATGGAGGACACCTGAGACACGTGGGGCCCAGGAAGGACAGGGTTAAGGAGTCAAGGCAGAGCAAGTGGGGCTGATGGCTTGTAAGGGCTGGGGAAACAGCTCAAGGAGGGTTTGGGGACACCATAGGGGGTTCTGGTTCTCTTTGCTAGCCCTACCAAGCCAAGGAGCAGGTGGGAAAGAGGGATTGAAGCCAGGCTGCCCCTCTCACCTTTGATAACAGTGATGTTCTTTATCTGGTTCCCAGTGTAGTCGTTGGTGGCCCTCAGCTCACACATGTAGACGCCCTCATCGCTGGTGGTGAAGCTCTGCAGGTAGAGGCACAGCAGGTTCTTGTGCATGGTGACGTTGGCTCGGCTGCGGTAGATGTTCTCCGAGACGCCCATGGTGCTGTGGATGACGTGCTTCCTGTTGTCCTTGGTGATGCTGAACTCGTAGGTCAGGGGGTTGCTGGTTTTGTTCTCATAGCGGCAGTCCACCCGCAGGCTCTGGCCCAGCAGGCAGGCACTCAGGTCCTTGATCATCTGGCAGTGGGCAGCCTGGAGGACTGGGAGAGGGAGGCAAGGAGGGGTTGGAAAAGGGATACAAGCACTGGGGATGCCCACATAGCCCCCGGCTCTCTGCTGGCTGCTCCGGGCTGAGCTCATTGCAGAGAAGGGAGGGGATGTGTGTCTACCTGTCAGGATGACAGCGATGCCGACGGTGGGGTTCATCTCTCCGCTGAGGTGCCCAGCAGTGGCCGTCACTGGAAGGGGAGCCTGGGCAGAGAGAAGGAGAGGAGGTTAGCCATTGAACCCAGCACACAGATACAGGCACATACAGCACAGCTAGGCAGGCTGGCTCTCTATGATGCTCTATGGCTTGCTTCTCATCATGGTGGCTGATTGACTGTGCAGGGACTGGCCGGCCCTGCAGCCGGCTAGGAAATGAGGGGTTATATGCCTGGCCAGCATCACCTTCCCATATCCCAAGGCAACACCAGCCACACTCTTTCCCTGTCTGTATCCCCACACCAGACATTAAACAAGCATGGCACGGACCTACATGTGCTGCCTTCCCTTTCTGCTGCCCCGTGCCGGGGATGGGGACCATACAGGAGGAATCAGTGCCTGCCCATGATGTCCATAGGGCTGCCAGGTGAGGGACTCTCCGTCGGTGCCGGCGGGCACCAGGCCCCCAGCCCTCCTGCGGCTCCAGCGGGTGAGCTCAGCACGGATGAGTCACTGCGATGCAGCGAGGGAAAGGGGCCAACAGCAGCGGGAAGGAGGGACACGGCAGCTGGACACGGAGCCAAGGCTGCCAAAGGATGGCACCGAGTCTCCAAGGGCTGAGCCGAGCCTGCCCAGCTACGGCGTGGAAGGGCTTTGGGGTGGCAGAGCCCACCCTCTGGGTCCCCAGCCTGGGTCTGTTCAGGGTGAGGGGCCTGTGGATGTGCTGTCAAAGCCACGGGGCTGCTGAGGGTCCAATGTGGCTGAAAGGAATCAATTAGAGGTTTGCAGCCCAGCCAAGCAGCCGCATGGGGAACCCAACCGCAGGCATGCGGAATGGAGGCAGAGGGGGGGGGAGCAGCAAAGCAGACACCGGGGCTGAAGGACACCGCATCCTGCAGCCGGTTCTCCAGGCTGGGGATGCGGAGCCAGGGCAAGAGGAGGAGGTGAGTACCACCCTTTGGGGCTCCAGGCTGGCAGAGGGGACACCAGGCCACCAGCTTGCTCCCTCTGAGCCTGACTAAGCATCCAGGGGAGAGCTCTGCACTGCAGCCAGTTGGATTCTTCTTCTGAGCATATTTTCGGTCTTTCATATAACGTTCTAGGAGGAAATACCAAACCCGTTTGCTCACTGTGGAGCTGTGAAAGATCTCTGTATCTGCAACCCCAAACCCTGGCCAGGAAGAAAAAAATCCCTTCTGCTTGGTCTGGACAACCAAGAGGGTGCAAATGGGGGCAAAGGCATGATGGAAGAGACTACTCGGGTCTCCTCTGGGTGCTGAGAAACTGGCCCCTGTCCTTTCCTTTGTTATTTCTCAGCTCTGACCCACTCCTCTTTGAACGTCCTGGGACACTATCTAGGTCACAGCCAGGCTTTCCTCCAGAAAATCAGTGCAAATAAGCTCCCAGAGAAGGGGGCTTCCTCCCATCTATGTGCAAAAACAGATATTCCAGGATCTCCATTCATGACCCCTTGGATCCTTTGTACCTCTCCTCCCGACAGTGGTGCCAGGTAACTCTTGCTCCTGCACAGTCCCAGGATCTTTGCACAAGGACAGATCTCCCAAGAATGGTAGCATTAGAGCAACCCCAGCTTTCTAACGTGGTCTCTGCCACCTACGTGGGGCCACGCTATGATGGTGGTACCCCCATACCCACCACCACGACAAAGGAGCTGGGATGGCAAAGCCATCGGGGCAGAAGAGAGCCGGGATGATGGGCTGGGATAAACCAGGCTGCAGACCTGGGAACAAGGGTACATCCTTACGGGGATGCTCAAGGAAGAGAGATGCGGGCAACACCGCTGCCGGGCCTGTTGGGGCAGGAGGGCTGGGTGCGAGCTGCCCACCCCGCAGGCAGCGGTGCTGTGCCCGTGGAGGAATGCCGCAGTCCCGAGCCTTTGCAGGGAAGGGAGGGAGGGAAAAGGAGGAAGAATGAGGAGCGCCGCCCTGCAGCAGCATCCCGGTACCCAGTCCCCGCGGCGGGCAGCGCATCCCTCCCGGGCAGGGACAAGCGGCTCCCGCTTTGGAGCCCCGACCCTCCCCTTTCCCCGCCCTGTATAGAGGGCATCACAGCGGCGGGTGCGCTCGGTGCGGTGGGGCCATGCCGTGCCGTTCCGTGCCGTGCCTTACCTGCCGGCGCTGTCCGGTGCTGCCGCCGGCGCTGTCCGGTGCTGCCCGGCGGGGCTGTGGGCGGCTCGGCGCTCCCCGCAGTTTGGGCCGGGCCGGGCGGGCGGCCCCAGCAAATCAGTGCCGGGCGGCGTCACGCAGGCTCAGCCCCCGGCCCTGCGGCGCGGTGCGGGGAGGAGGGGGGGGGGGGGGGCTCGGCTCTGCGGACCGGCCCCGCCCCGGGATGCGGGCGAAGCGGCCCAGGGCATCGGGGGTGAGCGGGGAGGGAGGGAGCCCCCGGGCGGTCCCTCACTGGGGCACAGGGGGGGTCCTGTCCGGCCCCTTCCCCATCCATCCCTTCCCCGTTCCGCTTTGCGCAGAGCGGGAAGGGTGACACATCCCCATCGCCATGGGAACAGCGCGGTTCTGCAGAAGAGCCGCCAGCCCTCGCCCTTCCCGGCAGCACGGGTGTTGCTCTGCTGGGAAAGGGAAGCTTTGGAAGCGGACGGAAGAGCGTGGCTTGAGCTCTGCTGAGGAAGGGGAACGTATTCCCCCTCCCCAAATGGGTATAGCTCAGGTGCACAATGAGCAGCAGACACCAAGCCACCTATGTACCATACAGGCTATGGTGATGGAAACACCACTGGCCACAAGCCTTAAGCTTTACGCCCAGGGCTGGTGGTGGTGAGGATGCAAACAAGGGCTTGCTCCCCACAAGCTCCCGCCACTGCATGGTTGGGAAGGGGCTAAGCTTCTGTGCAGAACATCCTTGAACCCAGTAAAGAGCCTGGCAAAGGAGCTCTTCTCTGCTCTAGGGCCAAGTGGAGATGACAGAAGAGGATGGCAGCATCATGGAGCTGCTCTTCCTGGGAGTCTGTGCTCCAAAGCATCCCAGCAAGGAGCAGAGGCGTGCAGGGGGGCCTGCCCTGTCCTCACCTCTGCCCGCAGCCCTTGGCTCTGCAGAAAAGGGCTGGCATGGTGAAAGTTGATAGGAGAAGTCATATTCTGCTCCAGCAGAACCTGATCCCCGCTGACACCCAAGTGCTGAGCTGGCTGTGCAGGGGGGGTTTGCTAATTCTACAGAACCTTGGCCCTGGCTATGCTGCCCCAAATGGGGTTGGACACAGGCCATGATGCTCAGGAAGGGTTCCCAGTGTGCTGCCACGAGGAGGGCAAAGGCCTGACCCTATCTGGGTACTGAATGGAGCCAGGCTGTGGTCACTACCAGTACCACAGCTAGGATGGTAACCCAGGGTATACAAAGCTGACGGTGAGGGTGGGGTTAAAGGCACGGCAAACTGGCATAGAAAGCCATCACTAACAACGACTGGAAGCAGATTGATGCAACGCAAACAGGCAAGAACAAGAGGCGCGTTGCCACGTTGTTAGGGTGCAAAAACCATGCAAGCATGAGGGCTGCATCCAAACACAGCTGTGATGTAACCACGCACACACACATGTCCCTTTTATACCTAGCCCCACATCCCCACCCTCACTCCCAGCTATGCAAGCATAGGCAACCAGGGAATGCAGGCTTGAGGGGCTGGCTTTTGGAGGCACGCAGCTGCCCAAGCCCCACTGCACTGCACTGCAAGAGATTTCATCTCCCGTCAGATCCCTGCCTGGTGGTGCTGTGGAGGCAGGCATGATTGTGCAGTTTCTGGGCAGTGCTGGCAGCGAATGTCCTGCCTAGGTGCTTGCAGGAGGCTCCTTGCAGAGGTTCTCTCACTGGGTAACCCCTTCACTGCAGATTGCAGGCTGGCTGTTATCCATACACCACAGGGAGAAATCAGTCCCTAAGTCACACCTAATGCAGAGGCCTCCAGATTGTGCTCCAAGGCAAAGGAAAGGGTGGGTGGGGAGGGGAAAACCTAATCATGACAGAGAAATGGGGAGGGTGCAGGCAGCGTTTGCAGGGGACAGGCAGAGACAGACAGACAGGGGCAAGGAGGGAGCCAGACAGTGCAGGTACCAGCAGGCACAGGTGATGTGGCAGGACAGAGAGGCAGAGGCAGGGCACAGCTCTCTTAAGAGCTCAGATCAATTGAAGTTCCCCTATCTCCTGTCTGGAGGGCATGTGGGGAGTCCTTCTGCTCTGATGGAGTGCGTCAGGGGCATCACTGCTCTGAGTCGCCCCAGGAGCATCCCCAGTAGCTGCAGGAGGTAGGCTGGAAGCTGAGGCACTGGGTGAGGACCGTGACTGGAGTGCCTGGTGCTGCTGCAGCAATTAAAACCTGGCCTTGTCCCAAGGACACGCTGCTGCAGGGGATGCCCTTCCAGGAGAGAGGTGCGCATCCTTCCCAAGAGGAACATCTCCCCCCTGCCCTCAGCCTACCCCCAAAAACGGGAGGAAAGGGAGCATCCCTCCCTCCTGCTCATGAATCACGGCACAGCATCACGTTGGGTCCTGCTCAAAACGTGACAGCAGGATGCCCACGCAGCAGCCGGTCCCTACCAGCAATCATTTGCTCCCCCACTGTTAATTGCAAGGGAGGAGAGACATTAGGTCCTAGCCAAGGAGAAACCCCTGGCATCCTCTCCCAAGCCATTAGAGCTGGGGAGTTACGGGATGCAGGAGGTAAGGGAGGGCGTCTGAGAATCAGTGCTATTGATCTGGCAGAGATTGCAGCTCTAGGCTCGACTGATGGATATGCTCACCAGCTTCACAGCGCAGTGCCTGCCCCTGCATGTCCCCGCAGCTCCAGCTGACAGGAGGGTGGCAAAGACTTCATGCTTGTCACTGCACGAAGCCGAAGCCAAACCCAGGCCCTTCCCACCCCATCTTTGAGGCTGCAGAAGAGCTTTGCCCTTGATTGGAGAGACAGAAAGGCCCTTGGGAGCCCAGCGAGGCCCCACGGATGCTATATGTAGCATGGCCCAGATACAAAGCCCTTGGGCTTTGTGGCACCACCGCACAGAGCAGGGGTGGAGGAGACTGTGCTCCCCTCCTTCCTGCATGCAGCACATGGAAAACAGGGGCAAGCAGGGCCTCTGCTGTGCTTGGAGCAGCCACATTAGCCCAGCAAAGGAGATGGCTGGCACAACAGAACAGCACTGCCAGAGCAGCTTGCCTGCAGTGTGCAGGGCTCCTCCATGGTCCCTCTGCCTGCCTTATGGCTGCATCCTGGGTACTGAGAACCCCCAGAGACTTGAAGACCTCACAGAGATCAGCTCTTAGAGGAATCAGCTCCAGTCCCTGCACTGATACACCTGGCAGCAGGAACATCCCTCCCTTCCCTCTGTGCTTCCCTGTTTGCCTGCAGGGTCTGGATACCTAACTCCTGGCTCCATGCTGACATGCAGTCATGCAAGAGGGCCCAGTGGGGATGCTGCACACTTCTGCTTGTCGTGGTGGCTTGCCTTGAAGGGAGACCCTGGCTGGGAGGCTGCCAGCAGTGAGTATGCACTGCAATGTAGGATGCTCCATAGTAAACCCCTGCTTCACCTGACATTGCTGTCAGTGTCTGGGAGCCATCAGGCAAGGTCCCAGTGGGGCAGCTCTGCTGCCTATCCATTGCAGAGCAATTCCTTGCAGTCTGATACCCGTCTGGAGGATGGGTGACCATCTCTGCTTCTAGCCCTTCACTCCCAGAGATGCTACACTAAGAGACTTGGAAATCCTGGTGGGAGCCAACTCAGCCTGCAAGAGGGGTTGACTGAGGCACAAAGCTCTCAGCTTGCTCCATCTGCTCCTCAGACTGAGTGGGAATGGTGCTTGGCTGCCTGCTCAGACTCCTCGCTGCCTCCTGTTGCAACCAGTAATGCATCCTGGTGGGAGAGGAAAGCAGGTTTCCCTGCAAACCTGACCTCTGCTGAGCTCAGGGGGAGATGTGTTCCTGGGGGATGGAGAAGCATCCTTGCCAACTAAGCCAGGCAGATAACTTGGTTCCTAGCTCAGAGTCTGGAGGTCTGGGTCTCTTACCTGCAGTGTGAGTGGCCAGAGGGCCTGTGTTCAGCCTGTTTGCAAGGGTGCCACATCCCATGGGCTCTTCATATGGGAGGTGACATGAACAGAGAGCTGGAACTGGGAAAAGATGCCACATCGATGGTGGAACTCACCTCCTTCAACCTGCTGAGCACCTTCCCCTGTGACACACCATCACCCCCTGTCCTGCATCGGGATGGCGATCGATGGGAATACCCCACTGATGCCAGGTTGTGCAGCATTAGAAGCCCCAGACATGCAACTGATTGATTACCAGAGCAACTGAAAATCCCTTTGTCTTGGGGAAATTCACCTGTGTGGGAAAGGAGAAGCTCTTAGGGCCCTGCTAGGGCGATGCTGGATGGAGAAAGCGGCATAGAGCACAGCACTGCTGCTCTCCATCACCAGCCTAACTTTCTCCTCTGTGTCTCAGGAGGCATGAATAATGCAAGCTACAGAAAATGGAAACAGCTTCCCTGAATTTTCTCCTCCTACCTGATGGCCCTTAAGGAATGGAAACTGTTTATTGGCATTCCTTATTTATGGAGGAACCATTGGAGCAGGGTGGTCAGCTCTCACCACACAGGTTCCCGGGGATGATTCCCAGCCTCCTCAGGCTGGAGAGAGGTGAGTTAAATACAGGCAGGTTAAATACAGGCACAGAACAGAGGTCGGTTCTGCTGTTGGGAGGCCTGGCCCTCACCCTGGCAGTGCTGGACAGGCAGGGGCTGTCCCTGCAGCACGCACAGAGCTTCCCTTTAGCATCCAGCCAGCTGCTCGCAGCACTTGGGTTTGTGTCATCAGCTCCAGCACTCGCTTGTCTCCCCCATTGTTAGTGGGGACAATGGGAGCGTGTACCCATGCTGGGCAGAAGGGCTTCCCCTGCTCCCTGCCTTCCCTGCAGCTGATAGGAGCCAGCCAGTCTGTGCTGCAAGGAGCAGAGGGGCAGACAGCACTGCCTGGATGTCAGCTCTCCCTGGAGGCACTGGGCAAGCCCTGGCTCTGGTCCTTACCCTTCTCCTCTGCACCAAGCCGCAAACACCAGCATCCTCCCAGCCACATCTGGCCGTGCAGAGCCACATCTGCCAGCCCTGTGCTGTACTGAGTCACTCACTGATTCCTCCCAGCCCATTTGACAAATGGTTTGGAGCAGAGGGAGATTTTCAAGCATTTCCCAGGCGGCTTTTTACCCATTGTTGTCTGCTTCTGATTGCTTAGGAGGCTG